TTGAGGAGAAAGATGCGAAAGACCTTTCGGCGAATTCAAGATTCAGTTCCCCTTTCTTGCATTGGTGCTCTAAAAGGAAACTTCCTTCTCTCTCTCTCTCTCTCTCTCTCTCCTCCCCCCCTTCCCTTTTTCTTTCTCTTTCTATCCCAATAAAGATAACCCACCCCGAATTCATGAGTGCGTACGATTTCGAAACTTGATGCGAATTATAATGCAAAACATTGTGTATAGGATAAAGATATTACTGTAACAAGCGTTAATCCGAGATTACTATCGGAAAAAAATCTAAGTGACCCGAGAACTGCAGAATTATTTTTAAACGAGACGTTGGTTATATACAGAGACGCTTTTAAGGCAACGGTATTTGTATGAAACGAACGTTGCACGTTACTCGCCGATATCTTTACAATTTCAATGCAAATTACGCGCTACAGCCTGCGTGACTAATTTAATATGCCACGCTACCTTATTATCGCACGTAACGGAATAAAAAGGCTTCAAGAATTTTCGTACTATAAACGCCGTGTTCTTCGCGAATTGTCACATACATACGCGATCGGCCGTAATACACTAAAATTTTACAAAATAGTAGCCTTCTTTATCATGTAAAATGCATCGCGTCTGTATTATAGTCGGCGTTTAATGACGTTTCATCATATCAATATTCTCTACTTCGTTTTGTACAAAAAGTATCAAAATACAGACATTGCGATATTTCTCGTACATTAATGTGGATATTAACGTTACTAATCTCTCCGGCTCGTTGAAAGTAAATTCGAAAAGGCGCTTCTGTCGTATATAAGTGAAGGCTATCCGTTAACAGATTGCTTTTTCCGCCCGGAGAATAGACAGAGAGCGAACGAGGGAATAATTTTCATGCAAGAGCGAAGAAGAAGGGGGAAGAAAATGCGGGAAACGCAAACGGCCTCAACCACGGAGGACCTTCCACCACCAGGAGAGAGAGAGCTTAAAGGAGATAGCCGGTAAAGATCCTGGCGCAGGACAGCCGCGTGAAACATAGCTCGAGTCGCGCCGTGCTATCCGCGCGCACCATCTCGCGCTCGCGACAATCTTTTCACACTTCGCGAGAGGGTCCATTCTTCAACTTATGGAAATGCAAGCGTTGCCGCGCGAAGGGCACGCCGCGAACCGCCGCGATATCAATCGACAATCGCTCGGTTTTTATATAATCCATGTGTGAATGGTTCGCTTTGTGTGATGATAATAATCTTTATGGATTTATTCATCGTCGAGAGTATCGAAACAAGTCGAGAGTATCGAAACGTTAAATAAATTAAACATATCAACATGTTAGTCGAAATTTTTCGTTTCATATTAACACATGTTTCAAGAAATATTTTTTGTTTAATAAATCGTAAAATGTCGAACGAACCAGTTACAATCGAGGGATAAAATATTGGAAAATTTTTATGTATAAAACCACGAAGTATTAGTAAAGATTAATAAACGTTATACTCGAATGAGGGTATTATATAATTAACATTTTAAATCCCATTTAAAGACTTACTAGTTTAACCGCTCATTTTTTTAAATCTCTTTGTCCTGAAATTAGATTATTTGGAAAGACGAATATTAAAATCCAAAGATATAGGAATACGCAAAGGAAGTCATAAAAAAATAAAAAATTAATTGTATATTCTGCTCGTTCATATTTCGATTTCCTACCGAGCATATTCAATGAAAGCTATTTCGTCGAATCAGTCGAGACGAAATATTTTACTTTTGCGTCATATATCAGCGTGATGATTACAACGTATGATTCGACACACGAGGTTGTATCATCCCTCATTTTATATTTTTTAACGCACGATGTTCTCATAGAATCATTTCTATTACACTTGCATTCATGAACTACCGAGATCTATGCTCTGCGAGACGCCGGCTCGTATTAAAGCGTTATTAGCCGCGCAACAGTTTGGAGAGTCTCGTCAAGAACTGTCAAGTCTGTTTACGGGTTAGGGAACGGCTCGTGAACCCAGCTTAACCCTTTCAAGACTCTCGGGATAATGTGTTCTAAGGAATGTTTACCGTTCTACTAGGATTATCCGCTCCAAATATGATATTTTACATGTATTTCCGTCTTTAAGCAAGTTTTAATTATCGAATATCGTATAAAAGTCAAAATTTACAATACTATGTCGCTAAAAAAGCTACTACGACAAAACAACACAAAGAGAGAAGCATTTTAATATAAAAAAGGAAGGAGCTGAACGATATAAAAAATTTAGAACGCTAAAAGTCTCAATTTTGTCGTATCTCGAAAGCGTCGTGTCACATTAATAAAAAATGTATACGCTTTTCTTGTCTGCGTTTAGGTAGTGAAAAAGGAGCCGAAGGTATCGGTCGGAATTAAGATTTACGAACACCCACGAACACAAAAAGATCTTCTAAGAGAAAGAAAAGTTCACCGTGGTGGGCATGCCGCAAAGAGTTTCGCTCGAACTTCTCTTATTTTCGACTCGGCCGCACAACACGACAATGCTCTTAAATTCACCGCCTTAGACTGCGAACAACGCCGTTATGGTTGGAAAAAAATCGCAAAAAAGTCTCACGAACGTGCCCGTAAAAATTAGGCCGGTCATTGTCAGGTTTCATTGAAAACACGAACAGCATTCGCGGATCGACTCGGTACGTTGCCTTTGGCAGGTCGAGGTCGCATAGTCTGACCGGAGAAAAGTCCTGGGAATGCCATTGTGACTGTGACTGTTAAAATTCAAGAACGATGGTGGCACATTTAGCCGGTTCGACTTTTCCATCTGGACTCGTTCAAAAAAACGTGCACTTAAAAATTTAGGGACAACGAGATCGTTTCACTAGAAATCTGGAAACATTAGTCACAGTACACACCATTCTCACTGCAAAAATAGACTTCTGAAAGAGATCAACAAAAAAACGAAATTTTGTCGTTCGTTTGGGATCTCCAGTTGTAATTCAGCCGGAGTAGATATTTTAGCTGTTAAATAATTCAAGAATTATGGCCTTTGCGGAAATTATCGTTATGGGAAAGTCATCGGCTTCATATTCGTCAACGAACGTATCACGAACAGGCGCGCGTTAGTGATACCTTGCACATGAGATATTTAGCATGCGCCACATGGCATTAAATTGGTGCGATTCAGTACGAACTTTAAACGAGATACGAACTTGGTTTCGCGATTTTATCTATGAACGTACGCGGACGTAGTGACATATACGCGACGGTGTTTTTCGCGTGATCGAGAGCCTCTGTGTTTTACGGTCGCGCGATTTTATTTTTTCCCTGTGGCGCGAGATCACTTTCGCATTTAACTGCATTGTGCGAGCTCGCGGCGACGGACTGCGCGTGACAACGCCGCGGCATAAACATCGATCTGCGAATATTACTGTGAAGCATTACTCGCGAAATGACTCGCAATGCTTGGAACTATTCACTAGGTGAACCAGAAACTTCGATCGTTTGCTATCAAATGGAGCCAAGCGACGGAGAACTGTTAACTCTCGCGTTCTCCATGCTGATTGCGCACGTTGATCGTTTCTCTCTCTGCGAAGAGTAAAAACAAATCGGATGTAAATGAACCCTTCCTACAGAGAATGATAAAAGCCAAATCTAAAAATTCTTATTAGAAAGAAAAGAACACAGATATCTATCGTAAAATTCATTAATAAATTGAGAGACTTTTACATACACACACACACACATTTTAAGATTTTCCAGATTTATCTAACTTATATAAATTTAGAACATACGTCTGATCTGATTTGCTTGTCACATTTAGTAGCAAGAAAAATGTAAATATTTCGCCGTTTAATTAGTCAATATTTATAGACGTAATTCAGAACGGTTATTAAAGAATAATGTCATGATAATCTTACGAAAACAATATTCTTACATAATTAGTACTACATCTGAAAGATGAAGAATGCTCTTTGTCGCATTTTGATGAAATAAAATCTAAGTGTAATATAAACGCCAGAAAAATTATACGATATATTTTTTTTAATATTTTAGAATTTATTATAACGTAACGTGGAATATTTCTTCAGATATTAAGCGCATTTTTTCAAGCCGCATAACCACGTCACACATGGATAAAAATGTTCTAAAAGCTTTCCAGCGATATGTGTTATCCAACAATAAACCTATCAAAGAGGGATGATTAGATAATACTGAGATAAAATATGTCGGGGAGCTCGAAAGGAAAATATCTCTTTCAGTCAATATTCGTGCCTTTATAACGAGTCACAATAGCGTACCGTCGAGACCTCACAAATTCTCACTTTCGGATCTTACCTAGAGATCTATGTTTTATGATCACGTATTGGGTCAGTGACCCATTCCACAAAACTTTACAAACAATGGAACAAATACATCAAGCAATGCTAACAATTCCTGTCGACTGAAACTTCGTCTGTCAAGTTGGTGACGACAAATCCAGAAATGTGCCAACCCGCAGAAGTACGAGGCAAACAATTTCTTTCGCAAGAAGAATTGCCGTCGTAATATCGATCAATCCATCAAATTTTCTTTATACCGATGTGCTATTTTTACGTAACAGAAACATGACAACTTCTCGCAAAAACTTCCAATTCTGTCGCGGCAACCGTCGCGAAAGCCCGAAAGTAGAATTACAAAAAAGGAAAGCACTGATCGCGCAATTATTAACAAGAGAAGAATACAAGAGTATGATTCGAATAATCATTTCTATATTTATGTGCCCTTCGATATTTGAACCATGCGCGAGTTACGTCGATTTCTCTTTGATCACGTTCACCGCACGTCACTCTATTATATTCAAAGCCGTTTAGCCGTACACACAAGCGCGTATTTAAATTCTTCGTCCCACGCCGCCGATTATTAACGTCTGAAAGACGTTACGAGCACTCCCGAAAGCTCTCCTAATCTTCCGAACGAACATCCGCTGGATGCTTTATGAACTTTTGTGTTTTTAGCTGCAGCTCCTCGACCGTCAAGAATTTTATGAGTCCTAGAGAAAACTTACCACTCAGAAATATCGACGGCGAGATGTCTTGGGATCCGCTCTGATTTTGACGAGCGACGTCTCGACCCTCGGGAAACGGTGATCCTCTTTCTCGCGCGCGCGCTATACACCTCCGTCGTTAAGAACTTCCCTCCTATCCTCCGCCGCCCTCGCGATCACACACTTCCGTCACTGTCACTCACTCACTTTACGAGCTCCTCGATTACGTCCTCCTATAACCAGAGCCGATAACTCTCGGCGGCGGCCAAAGTCGATGATAGACAGCCACTCGCGCCTCTCGATCTGTTTATTCGCGCGTGACCCCGTTGACGTCCGTCGTCGCTAAGTTGCTCCGAAAGTAGCGCTCCGATTTTCAGTCTCTACTTAACGAGAGAGAACGCACTATTCACTGGTCGCGATCGGTCTCATCGGGTATCTCATCGAGTTCACCGGGAAAAAAACAATACGAACTTGTTCCTCCCGCGGGTGACAGAGAAGACAGGTTCGTCGGAGCACCGGGAGCAACGATTCTAATCGCGCGAAATGCTGACCACCGCTCCGCGTTCGCCAGTTACATCAGGCAATCAAAGCTTCAGCTGGGTTCGCTTTCTCTCTCGGCGAGAAAACACGCACTTCGAAAGCACCGCGCAGGCCAACCGCGCGTCACGGCACCAGCCTGTGAACTGAAGCGCCGACGCGACCTGAAGCCGGGACTCGACTGGTTCTTCCGGCCTAGAGAGTCCCCACCGCTCTCCCTCTCTCTCGAGAACACCCGCACTCGCTGTCGCGCGCGCGACCCTAGGTGCGCACCATCCCCCTTCGAGGGGGAATCCCTTCTCCGCCTTCACCCCCTCGTTCCTGCCTTTACCCCCGTCGCTCTATCTCCCTCGCTCTCCCTTTTCAGGAGCTCGCCCCTCTTTTCACTCGCGCTCCCTCCCTTCCTGCCTATCTCTTTCTCTCTCTCTCCCGACTTCGTCCTTTCTCTTTCTCCCCCCGTTCGACCAGTTCGCCGTCCTCGTTCTGCTCGCATTCCAACGGTGGTCGGTTCCTCTCCCTACGACTGCCTGCCTGTCCTTCCCGCGCGCGCTATGCCATGTTCCGACTGCCTAACACCGACCCTTCACGTACGAACGACCGAACGACCACCCCGTTCTCTCCTTCAACGGTGCACACGATCAACCTCTCTTTCCCTCCCCCTCTCCCCCCCTATCTATCCAGCTCTCCGTCGTTCCCTCCCGGAGGAACCGCGCGCGTTGGAGGTGTGCACCCTTTGCCAAGGACTTTCCGGATCTCCCCCGTCTTTTCCTCATCCACCGCCATCTCCTTCCGCGTCCTGACCAGCCGTTCCTTTCGGAAATATTTCGACGTCCGCGCGCATGTACATCCTTGCACCTGACTCCTCGGAGTTCCTTGGCCGAGCAAGTGCGCCGGCCAATCCCGGGCACATGTTCGACACTTCCACTCGTACCATTCTTCTCGGGATCGAGCGGAGGACGAAAGACGGGAAATCTCTTTATCATACTCGCGAGCAAGCGGGCACCTCGAGGGAAGGGGTGTTACTCCCTCTTTCCTTTGACCATTGGATTTCAACGACATGGGTCGACGGCGAAATCGGGAAAGAAATTTTCATCGAATGTGGCTAAGCACAGCCGTTCTATCGTATAAACCACGCTAGAAGATGACGACAGGTGGAGTCACGAAAGACACATTTAACGCCACGACCGTAGGTTGTGATAATAAGTGATAATTAAATCGCACGTGTCGAGACTAGGGATTATTCAGACGTTATCATCAGGCTGTTATTGCTTATTATTTTTCTCAATATTATACATTTTCGCCACACTAATCGCTAATCCCTGTTTTGCATCAATTAATATTTATTGTGCGCTCGTACTGTTTCATTATTACAACCGACAAAGGGTATTAACCGAAGCTAAATATTATTGCAAAATCCCAATACGCAACCGAGAGAAATTTTCACATCGGCGAAAATTGATTTAAGCTCGATATATTGAAATTTCAGCGACTATATTAATTTGCAGACCTGCTTATAAATTCCTTTCATTACGGCGAGAACTACGGCCGCCCGGGGATTACTGCATATTTGCGGTATGAGTTTTGGCACGATCGCGTAATTACATCAGCGCTGTTTGCAAGACACTTTTCATAGCTCTCGCGTTCGGCAAATGGCGTCGATGCGAGTGACATTTCCATTTCCATTGCGGGCAACACGCATAAATTCGACACGCGCAACGAGTTCTCGTGTCTCACAAGCTTACGTTAATTTCCACTGTGACACCCACGTCACGCCGGCCAAAATTAATCGACAATTAATTGAATATGTAGATCCCCTTACTTCGAGGTGCTGCGCGCCCCATAAGCTAATGTCACACGATCACGAGTATCGCCAAGTAGCGCCTCGTACAGGCGTCATTTCTCACAAACATCGTGCGCCATCACACGCTTTAGTATTTTCAATATCCGCTTTACATGATTATATCAGCGGTGACAACGACGGAATTGAAATGTCTCCCGTTATATCGCTTTAGTGAATATATTATGTCCAGCCCTAATAGAGAGTCGGCTACATTTCAACCGAATATCAATTCGCGACAGCTCTTAAATCATCATATTCTAACAATGACAGCAACGTATACAGATTTACTGAAACAATATCTAAAAATTTTATTGTGTTAAAACAATTTATTTTGAGAATAATGCAACTTAAAAAAAGGTTTTATTTGCATGTCTCTTTCTCTCTCTCTCATATTTAAAAAATGAATATATTAATAAAATATTTAATTGCAAATAAGAAAACCTTTCCCCTTCTACGATTTAACCGCTGTCTCTCCACTATTTATATATCTTCTTCCTGCTTTAATATCAGCCGCTTTACGCACTCTAGGATGCTATCCGTGTATTGGGAGGGTCTCCTTCACGGTGCCCATCAAATTTCGCGCTGCCGCAAGCAAAAAAAGAAACACGCAGAATTTAATTCTTGCCCCTTGGCTTGAGCGTAGTCGCTCTTGAAAATTGGATTTTTTTAATGAAACCTCATTCGCCTGGAAGCAGCGGCAGCTGAAGATTAAGTTTTCCGGTAGACAATATGGGTACTTGCCTTTAACTATTCTTGGAAACGTATTGCAATAAAGCTTGATACGCGGAAAAAAATTATATATTCGTTATTCTGATTATTCTTGTAAATATAAAATAAAAAGTCGATTAATAGTGAACATAATTTTCCTTCATTATATACCGGTCCATAATGCAATTTATCAACGTTCGATATTACTTAATAAGTCTAATCAATTCTAATTTTATCCGTGCGGTTATTCTACACATATCACAAGTGCTATCATTAATGCTATACTTTGTCTATACTGCGTTACTTTGTCGCGCTAATAAAGCCGCCGCATAAAATTATTTATTGTTACGAGAAAATCATAGTTATAATAGAAATATTACATAATTTCGGGATTAATTAATGTTAATCGTCAAAATTCAACTGACACAGTATATCTTTCAATAATTAAAATTTTCAGACGAATACCTACTATTTTCTACGACGCAAACACAGCTCTAAGTAATAACGATTGGACAGTTCCGCTTACACGACTGCTACATGAAATGGGATGTTAAGTATACGGTAATCAGTGATAAATACCGACTAATATTAATTGGTCGCAGATGTAGTAAACCAATAACACGATGAGGTATTGGTTTATCGATTTTAGTAAAATTTCCGAAGCTACAGTTGCGATGTGAACATTTCAAGTCCAATCAGAGCGTCTTTGATTATAAAGTTACCATCCGTAATAAAACCCATATTTATGTTACGACAAGCATGTCGTGAGTCATATAATTGATAATAAGAACGTGAGCATATTATAGTATTTATGAATGTTCATTACGTTTGACATATTGTCAATAAAATAGTTCGACGAAATTGATCTTTTTTATTACAGTCGGCGCAACGGGTCGTCTTTTGTAAATGTAACTGCCGGATCGTCTTCGCCACCCCGAGGTAACCTTGAGTCCTACGCACAAAACTCAAAGTCACCACTGATCGACCGACCATAAAACTTCCGCTTATTGCAATTTCCTACTTTCGCTTTTACGGTGCGACAGCACCGGATTACCGTGAGGCGCACTCTTGGGCGCAGTAAAACCGGTAATAATCGTAATTTATATCTGTTCCATAACACGTGATTTATGAGGCTTAAAATTTTCATAAGCCGCAAATAAGTATTGACGCAAATACTCGGAGACCGACTGCCGAGCTCGCATACGCTTCAAATGCGGCGATGTAAAACGAACATGTGTTCGGGGGCATCCCGAAAACCTGATCTCCGCGCGACCCACGATCATATTCATCGTAAAAATAACGATTTATTGTAGTTGTTTCGTCTTGCAGAATTTTGTCGTTTTTATACTCAAGAAAAGAAACATCGATATAAATTTTTGTTATTATATATTCTGCGATATAAAATATTAGCTAAATTTAGAAATAAAATTGTTATTTGTATTTGTCATATACTCGATAAATGTGAGTTAACATTAATAGAAAATAATCTAGCTATTATTTCCCTCTCCTCTTTTCAAGTAAAATTTTATATTCCGGTTAGTAATTAAAAATTATATCATCGAAATATATACAAAACTCGCATTTCATTTGTTAAAAATATCGGCTTTCTATTTCCATGACAATGTGTTAAGTTACAAATACTCCCATATAGTCTGCGTAGATACGCGTCGTGAGCACTCTATCAATTCATTACGTTGTATTCCGCAAACAAATTTCGCAAGTCCCCGAGAGAGCTGTCACGCTGTCATCGATCACATTTGCGCGCCAAACGCGTCTGCACGTCTGACTTTAGAGAAAAAATTGAAGATGTTAACATGCTCATTATAAAGGTATAATCCGGCATTTACGAAATCTCGAAAGAACTCGAGGCGTTTGTGATATTACCGCACTTAAAGGGAAACTTCTCGTGACATTTAGTCAGTCGACCTTAGTCGAAAGACCATTGTCATTCTTTCCTAGCTTTTCCTCGACACAATGATGTAAAACTCACCAGACTGAAAATACATGGGTGGCACGGCAGGTAAGAATAACGGGTCGTGTTCGAAATTTCGGGAGCTTATTTACGCGTAGTTGCGTCAATCGCTGGGTCCTAGAATTACCGCCAGACCTACGATAAGAGGTCAACATGTTTCCCATCCGTATTAGCACAGAAGATTGAATGGATGGTTCTCAAATGATCCGGAACAGAAATATATTTCTCAGAATTTTGTTCTGCAGCATAACTAATATGACAAAAAGATCACGATTCCTCTCGTGAGAAATTTTTTTCTTGAGACATTTTTAAAAAGAATCAATAAAATATAATCGGGAATAAATGGTTGTTTCAAATAATTTTAATAATTTACGATGAATTAACGATTCCAAATAGATGACTGATAATTTCAAGTAATTTGATCTCTGGATCATTACCAAGTAATCCAGTAATTGTATAGCGTTGTATAGCGCATTATCATGTTGAACGTTCGAACGAGAGTTATTACTGCAGTAATCCCCGAAACGTTATTCCTAAACGTAATCTGCTAAATCGTTAATTATACCCCACGAAGGTCGGGAAGAGAGGCAGACTGAGGCTTCGATTCGATTCATTCGAGTATACCGCAAG